CTGGGAGGTTAAAGCTATAGTGAGCCGTGATTGCACCACTGCACTCCAGCCTGGGCAACAGAATGAGACCCTGTCTTAAAAAATAATGATAATAATAAAGAGTATATGGTAAAAGCAGTGGATATGGCTCCTGAGATTAGGTTATGAAAACCGGTGACTGCTGTCTTGCAGGCTGTCTCTCTCCTTCTTGGCTTGCGTTCTTTGCTGCATCAAGCTGTGTTGTTGGAGGAACAGTGCGAGGCCTCTGGCCGGTAGTCAACAAGGAACTGAGAGCCTCCGTCTAGCATCTGGTGAAGAACTGAACCCATCAAAGGCCGGTGAGTCAGTGTGGAAGTAAGCGGCTCGTTGCTTCTCCATTTGAGCCTTGAGATGACAGCAGCCCTGGCCAGCAGCAGCTCGCCAGTGAGATCTGATCTCTACAAAAAATACAAAAATTAGCCAGATGTGGTGGTGCACATCTGTAGTCCCAGCTACTCAGGAGGATGAGGTGGGAGGATCGTTTGAGCCTGGGAGGTTAAAGCTATAGTGAGCCGTGATTGCACCACTGCACTCCAGCCTGGGCAACAGAATGAGACCCTGTCTTAAAAAATAATGATAATAATAAAGAGTATATGGTAAAAGCAGTGGATATGGCTCCTGAGATTAGGTTATGAAAACCGGTGACTGCTGTCTTGCAGGCTGTCTCTCTCCTTCTTGGCTTGCGTTCTTTGCTGCATCAAGCTGTGTTGTTGGAGGAACAGTGCGAGGCCTCTGGCCGGTAGTCAACAAGGAACTGAGAGCCTCCGTCTAGCATCTGGTGAAGAACTGAACCCATCGAAGGCCGCTGAGTCAGCGTGGAAGTAAGCGGCTCGTTGCTTCTCCATTTGAGCCTTGAGATGACAGCAGCCCTGGCCAGCAGCAGCTCGCCAGTGAGATCTGATCTCTACAAAATCAGACGGAGTTTTGCTCTTGTTGCCCAGTCTCAAAAAAAAAAAAAAAAGAAAAGAAAAGAAAAATTTGATGAATGAACGAATGAATGAAGAATACACCTGAAAATGAGGTAAGCAGAGCTGGTAAATGCCCAAAGTCAGACCAACCCCTGGTGGTGCCATGTGTACCCTGGAGCCCACCGTGCCTGGATGGTTCGGGTCCACAAAATCGAAGACTTTCCTTTCATGCATCGGCCAGTCTGAATGAGGTTTACCGTCACTTGCAACCAAGAGTCCTGAGTAATACATGGGATTACTGGGGAATAGAGTGTGGCTGCGATGCTGAAGGAGGACAGGAAGGGAAAATGTAGGGAGAGAGAAAGGGAATGGCGGGGCAGCCATTGTGAGCCTCTACTGTGCGTCCCGTAGTGGGCTGGCTTTGTCACGTGTGAAAAGTGTCATGTCACTTTGCATTCACCTGACAACCTTGTGAATTAGGTGTTGTCCCTCCCTCTTCACAGTGAAGAAACTGAGTGAGGTTAAGTGCCTGGTCTAAGATCACAGAGCCAGTGAGTGGCAGAGGTAGAAGAAAATCCAGGTCTTTCTGATTTTAAAATCTCATGCTTTCTTGGTGGTTTATTTGTTTTTCTCTCTCTCTCTTTTTTCTTTTTTGCATCGTGGATTGGCCAAAATCTCCAAATATTTTCACTACTGCTGGAGCCCTGGCAAAGGCAGCAAGCGGGGTGGCTGCCGGAGGCTGGGGATGAGGAAGGAAGGGAGGAGGGGTACCTGTGAGGGCCCTTTGTAGGCAGGTATTTATAAAGCTGGGCCTTCTCTCTTGTAACAAATATCGGTGATATTTCTCCTGGCTCTTAGATGGGGGAAGGTGTCCTCACCTCTGTTCCCAAGTACACATCCAGGGAAGGCAGTGCCTGGAGGTCAGGTGAGGCCAGGCCGGCCTGGAGAGGTGAACTAAGGCTGCTGAACTGAAGGCATCCTGGAGGTTTTTGGTGCACCATATGAATGCCCCACCTACAGCCCCCTCTGAGAGAAACTGAGCTTCTCCCGGGCTCCCTGCTGCCCGTTCCTAGGGCATGCATTTCCTGTCCTGACCCACATGGCCCTGTCCCCTCTGACCTCAGCTGATTGGCCCAGCATTGGGCACCCTGCCCAAGGGCAGCCCCATCATAGCTGACCAGGGGTCCCTGGGGGGCTTTGGTGTCTGAGCGATGTGATGAACTGGGCCTCCTGGTAGAGGGGGCAGAAGCAGGAAGACGCACAGAGAAAGCAGAAAAAGAGGTAGCCCACTGGAGAGATGGCCATTTCAGGCCTGGCGTGGGCGCCTGAGTGCCGTCTGCTCTCTGAATAGGAGGCTTGCTGTGTGGCTCCTCCTGGGGCCCTGAACTCTTCCGTCCCTTTGTGCTGTCAATTCTGGACAAGAATCTCTTGTTTTTTAAATTTTTTATTATTTTTAAATTAATTTATTATTTTATTTTTAAAAATATTAACTTCCCATATAACTTCCCATACCACACTGATGTATATTTTTAAGTTTATACTTTTTTTTTTTTTTGAGACAGGATCTTGCTCCGTCACTCAGGCTGAAGTGCAGTGGTGCCATCATAGCTCACTGAACTCCTGGGCTCAAGCAATCCTCCTGCCTCGGCCTCCCCGGTAGCTGGGACTACACCTGTGCTCCACTGCCCTATTTTTATTTGTTTATTTATTTGAGATGAAGTTTCGCTGTTGTCACTCAAGCTTGAGTACAATGGTGCAGTTTCGGCTCACTGCAACCTCTGCCTCTCAGGTTCAAGCAATTCTCCCTGCCTCAGCCTCCTGAGTAGCTGGGATCACAGGCGTCCACCACCACGCCTGGCTAATTTCTGTAGTTTTTAGTAGAGATGGGGTTTCACCATGTTGGCCAGGCTGGTCTTGAACTCCTGACCTCAGGTGATCCATCCACCTCGGCCTCCCAAAGTGCTGGGATAACAGGCATGAGCCACCGCGCCCGGCCTATTTTTGTTTTTTGTAGAGACAGGGTCATGCTATATGTTGCCCAGGGTGGTCTTGATCTACTGCTTAAGCAATCCTTCCACCTCAGCCTCCCGAAGTTCTGGGATTATAGGCATGAGCCATGGCACCTGGTCTCCCCTCTTTTTCAGTCTAGCTTGAGTGGGAGCAATTGTGATAACCCAGAGGCAGACAGGACAGTCTAGTCTGCAGAGCCTGACGTGGTCTGTCCCCTGTCATTCACGAGGATCGTGAAGCTGGGGCCTGTGGCCTCCCACATATGTGCCTAGGGTCACTGGTTCCTGTGGTTCATATGGATGCCTCAGGGCCAGAGCCTCAGGGAGGGGCAAGGATGTGGGCTGGAACCTGGAACCATGGGGAGGGAAAGGAGGGGCTTGGGGGAACGTGGTTTTCAGTCGTGACATCACAACATACCTTAGTCGTGGGTGTTTTAAGTAATTTGTTACTCATAATAGCCAAAGCACTTGTGTGTATTTTAAAGCACATATTTGCTTCTGTAACCATGTCAAATTTCCAAAGGCCCAGTCGGGTACACACTGAAAAGTCCCCTTCCTTCCCTCTGGGCAGCTCCCTCCCTTGAGGCACCCATCCTTACCAGAGTTTGGGCATCCTTCCAGAAGCGTTCTGTGCACCTGTAAGCAAACACTCTTGTATGCATTCCTCCTTTCCCTTATTTAGTACCCAAATGTTAGCATATTATTCCCATTACCCTGCACCTTGTTTTTTTCATTTGTGAATAATTAACTTTCCCTCCAGTGAGGGCAGACGCTGTCACCTGTAGGACAGCCTCACTTGGAAGACCTAGGTTTAGGTCTAAGGCCCCACAAACACGCCCAGGGCCTTAATCCCCCTCGGGTTCAGTTTCCTTCCCCCAAACAGGAATGAGGACGTGTTAAGAAATTGTCTTAGGCCTGTTCCCTGGGGCTGTTGAGGATGGAATGAGGACGTGTTAAGAAACTGTCTTGTGAACTGTCTAGTCCTAGGCAGTGAGCGGTTATTGTCAGTCGGACAGATTGAAAAGCTTCTCATCCATTTTCCCTTAAGGATGTGTCTGGCCTTCTCTGCTTACTCCCAGCCACCTCCCCATTCCCAGCTGAAGGCGTCATCTCCTCATGCAGCTTCCCTCCCACACAGACCTGCCTGTTTATGGGCATCCGCTCTCCACCTCACCTCCCTTCCGCCACCCCCTCTTGGGCACCTGAAACTGCGTCTGCTGAGTGCAGCGGCACAAATAGCTCACTGCTGGCTTTTTTTTTTTTTTTGAGATGAGTTATGGGTTTTTCGTCACCCAGGCTGGAGTGCAGTGGCGTGATATCCACTCACTGCAACCTCTGCTCCCGGGTTCAAGTGATTCTGTGCCTCAGCCTCTCCAGCAGCTGGAGTACAGGCATGAGCCACCAGCTCAGCCTTTTTTTTTTTTTTTTTTTTGTATTTTTTTGTAGAGACAAGGTTTCCCTATATTGCCCAGGCTGGTCTTGAACTCCTGGGTCAAGTGATCTACCCACCTCAGCCTCCCAAAATGTTGGGATTATAGGCGTGAGCCCTATGCGCTGGCCCTTCATATGTGCTGCTTTTTTTTTTTTTAAGACGGCATTTCCACTCTTGTTGCTCAGGCTGGAGTGCAATGGCGCAGTCTTGTCTTACTGCACCTCCCACTCCCAGGGTTCAAGCAATTTCCTGGCCTTCCGCCTCCGAGTAGCTGAGATTACAGGCATGCACCACCATGCCTGGGCTAATTTTTGTGTTTTTAGTAGATGGCGGTTTCACCATCTTGGCCAGGCGGTCTCAAACTCCTAACCTTGCATTATCTGCCCACCTTGGCTCCCACAGTGCTCGAGATTATAGGTGTGAGCCACTGTGCCCAGCCTCTTCATATATTTTAATTGAACATTTAAGGAACCTTTTGTGTCAGATGTTGTTCTAAGCACTGGGATGTGCTAACTCCATTTTCCCAACTACAACCCAAAGAGGTAGGTACTGTTACTATCCATTTTGTTGTGTTTTGTTTTGTCTATTTCTTTTTTAGAGATGGGGTCTCCCTAGGTTGTCCAGGCTGGTCTTGAACTCTTGGAGTCAAGTCATCCTCCTGCCTCAGTCTCCCAAAGGGCTGGGATTATAGGAGTGAGCAGGTTTACTAGTCATTTTACAGATGAGGAAACTGAGGCTGGAGGAGTTAAGTGCAGCTGCACTGAGTGCATCAGGCACAGGCAGGCAGTGCCGGTGCTGGTTTCAAAACCAGGCCATCTGCTCTAGAACCTGTGTGCCTGGCTCTCCCTCACCCCCTGCCCTTCCTTCCTTAGGTAACTCCTTTGTAGTATTAATACTTTGGTCTCAGCTTAAATGTCACTTTCTAAAGGAAGTGTTTCCTAAGGCCCCTCCT